GATGGCTCCTCTAGAGGCAAATAGAATAGTAAAAATTTTTTGATATATTATTTGGGATTAAAATCAGGCTAGAATGGTTAAATCAAACATTGTAATTCTTGGTATCAGACAGGTTAATTCCTAGTCAAGTTCGATAACATCATCTAGAATTGAGTCAAAATGCGCTAGAAGTTTGAATTTGATAATTGATTTATATAGCTAAAATGGGTTCGTAGGCGGTCAGGAATCTTTTTTTGGATATCTTTTGAAATCTGTCTCAGAAACCCCATATTTGCTCTACTAGTACTGCCATAAGTTTATTAAAATTTTATATTGTATACTAGATAAAAATTATAAAGAAAAATTACAAAATAGATAAAATAACTAAATTATGACTATCTCTTGTAATTCGATTACTAATAAAAGCTCAAACCCATTTAGATCAACTGATCACTAGAATCTCTTTCAACCTAACCAAAAAATTCATATTTAATGATTAAGTTGTTAACAAGAAATTCATATGAGATTATCAATATAGCAACATAATTTCTAAATACCCTTTGATCCTAACTTCTATATAAAAAATTTAAACATACTAATAATCCTCCTAAGATGGAAAATAGATACAAATAGAAATTATTAAAAAAGAAAAACACAACTCTATAGATCCTAAATATTCAGTTAATTCTGGATTTAATGACCATCTGGTCAAAGAAGGTGTGTCTAAAGAAAAGGTCCAAATAGAGGCTCTTCATACTTACAGATTCATAAGTACAGAAAAAATATCACATGGAATTCACTACAAGACATCTATTAGGTATTAACAAATAATAACCTATACTCTTTACCTGGTTATCAGAGAGAAATGGATTTAGACGAAGCGAACTTACACTGAGTAAACATTATGATTTAGGCCTTCTGTGATTCTATTTCAAACTTATTTGAGTTAACAAAAATACAAGACCAAGTGGTAGTTATTATCACATCATATAGAAGACGTCTGGAGATACTAAAGTATGTATTATGCTAAATTTGCATGTGACCTTTGATAATAGAAGATCTGCAGAAAAGCAAAAGCCAATCAAAAGAGAGTATATTGTTTAGGAAAGGAAAGGGTCATCATGTGAGATTTGTTTATCCAAAATATGTCGATCATGATCATCAGTTAGGATACCCCCTTGATACCTACTTTTTAGTAGGCAAAAAAGAAAAAAAGAAAAATGGAAAATTTTTTTCGAAAAAAGGTGAAGAAAAAATATTTTAACAAAAAATAACACTGTTTAGACTATTTCAAAAATTTTATGTAAATAGAGTATAGGAAAAAAGAGAGGAAGGAATATTTTAAGAGGTAAGGTTTTTTGTTTTATTTACAGACTAAGCTGCAGCTGCCATTGAACAAGCATTTTTTTAAAATAAAAATTCTTGAAAAAAATCTAACAAGAAAGTGTTTTGAGGAATCGAAAGGAATTGAATAGTTGCTGTTTTATACAAATCAAAATGATATTGACCGAGATTGTATATTTTTTTTTCTATATATAAAAAATCATATGATATGATGTTATTTTGACTATTTTAACTTTTTACCTCTAATAGTCGAAATGATTTCGACCATTTCAACTATTTCAGATATCTAAAATGATCTATTTCGACTTCATGTATAAATATGAATAATAAGTTGTAAAAAAGTATTTGTATCTTTAGCGAAAATATTGTTATAAAATTTTAAAATATTAGAGATTATTATATAAAAAGTTATAAAGTGTTTTATTTATTATTTATATTTAGTTTATTTAATAAAAAAATTATTTTTAAAGTTTTTAATATTTTTAAAAAAAAGTGCAAATAGTTAAAAATTCAAATGGTAATTTTTTTATAAGGAAATGAAAGGTAGTTGTTTCATGAGAAATAGTATAATATTGATAATCATACATTTTTTGCTTTTTTAAATTTTTTTATATATTAAAAATCATGTGATATGATATCATTTCAACCATTTTAAATAGTTAAAATGATTTATTTCAACTTTATATATAATTTTAACTATTGTATTTAACTAATCTGCCAATATTGTCTTAGAAAATTAATTGTAATATTGGATAATATATTTATCAGAACAAAGTTTATTAGTAATTTGACCAAAACTAAGCAAATGATTAAATAGATTTCAGACAAATATAATTTCTTTCTTTTTGTTTGTTAAAATTAAGATATTAGCTAAACTATAATAATAAAATCAAAATCTAAAAAAAAATTCATTTTTAAGAATTTATCTAAAGAATTATAGATTCTAAAAAAATTATAAATTTTGAATAACATAATTTGGTGAAAGAATGATTAAAATTCTGATATAAAAAATCAGCCTAAGTAATAAAATAACATTTTGTATAGAATGTAAGTTAATCTAAATAATAAAGATTATGATTTTTAGAATATTAATACATTGAATAAAACTTGTAAAGTAAGTGTTTTATATAAGAAAAGTTTTTTACCAGTAATTTAGTTTTTAATAGTAAGTGAAAATAAAGTTGATAGTTATTGAAAAAATGAATTGATTTAAAATAATGATAAAGATATATTGTATTTGTAATGACCAAAGATTGTTAAGGTTGTAAAAATATTTGAGATGTAAAGAATAATTAGAAGGGTAGAAAAAAAATGAAATTTGTTTTTAAATAATAATCTGAAAGATGTAAAAAAATTATCACATTTATTTTTTGATAGAGGATAATTTGTTTATGCTATTTAGTAAGAGACAAGTTATTATAAGAAATGTATTTAAAGATTTGTCTTTATTGTTATATTTTATCAAAATTAATTTTCAATTTGAATATCAGAATTTGCATCAAATATCAAACTGGATTGTTAAAGCTGAAATTGTCAATCTCAATTTGGATATTTTTTTTTTTCTTCTTTTAATTCCGATTCTGATTGAAATTAGTATTTATTCATATAGAAGATAAACGTCACACGCGAATTTACGCGTTAAAACTAGTAAAATAAATCAAATGAAAAAAAAAGATACTATTATATAACATTATAAAATTGGAATAAAATAAAATCATTGGTTATTGGATCATTTATGATACATTAAACCATCAAATCAAATAAATTACTTTGTAACACAAATTAAAACTACCTAATGCTGCCCAAATAATGTGAAAAAAAATCTCGCAGATATTCTATAGTCCACATGGTTAACCATGCTTGGGCAAAATTAACATCATTTTTTGACTAAAAAACGGTCATTAAACATATTACCAACTTTTTTTGCACAAACTTTTAAACGCCCCTCTTTCTAAGAAAATTGTCAAAATGGCCACAACTTCCGTTAACTCTTCTTATGGTATTTGACTTGAACTTCTTATTCTAATGGATCTAACTATTCCAAGTTCGTTTGCTTTTCGAATTTACTCAATTCTATTTCGTTTTTTTTATACGCAGACGATATAAAACGTAAAAGGGAACGGGAAAATTCAGACATTAGAAAGAGCGAGCCTGTTGAGGTAAGTCTTATTTTCGTCTTACATTTTAATTATATTAATAAAAAAATTTTTTTGTATGTCGATTTTGATTTGTTGCTAAATTTATTGTTTACAGAATCAGTCGGACTCTTCAGATGGTGATAAAACCGTGCCATCAAAAAAAAAGTATGGTTTCATAGATATTTACAAAATAATTGGAAATTTTAACGATTTAACAATAATATAAATTTAATTGAATTGATTAGACGACATGACGATGTTATCAAAGATTTGAAAGATAGTCCTAAAACGCTCAGTGAAACGACTGAACCCATGAGAGCTTTGCAAAAAAAGGTAGAAACAATGAAAGTTGATAACATTGGCGCAAATGAACCGGTTGATTCATCATCAATTGGTGATAATAATATGAAAATTGATAATGAAGAACGAAAGGAATTTTTAGAAAATCGTTCTTCTGAGGATGTAGATATGAATTATGAAGAATCAAAAGAAATGATAGCGAATTTATTATCCGACGAAAATATAAAAGTTTTAGATGATTTTAAATCGTTTATTTCTTCGAAAAAGCTTGTTGAAAATGAGTTGGAAGTGGATAACGAATTTTGTAAAGAAGAAAAACCAACTAATGCATCGGAAGATAAGGGTTTAATATTGGATGTTATTGAAAAGTCTGAAGAAGAAAAAAAAGAACAAGAAACCAAAGTAATTGTAAAGGAATCAAGCAGTAAAGCTACTATAGACATAGACACTGCTAATGCAAAAGAAGCATCAAAAAAAATTAAAAATTTAACTGAAAAATTAGAAAAGACAAGAGAACCGACTGAGGCTGAAGTTAAAGAGGAAGAGTCTAAAAAAGACGAAGAAAAGACTCCAAATGAAAGAACACCGAATCAAAGCACTAAAGTGTTCGGATCTAGTACATCGAGTCAGAGTACCAAAGTGTTTGGATCTAGCACTACGAGTCAGAATACTAAAGTATTTGGATCTTCATATACTCCGATCACTAGAATATTTGGTAGTGGTGTCGAATTTTCAGGTCCATCATCAAAGGTAGACTCTGAAGAATTCATTTGTAACATATACGAATATTTATATACATATTATATTGGAAAAATTTTCAGGCGCATTGCTAATATGTCTACTTTGCTATTCTAAGCCTTTGGGGTTCTCAAGTTTTACAACCTCAACCCCTCAGCTGAATACTTTTGGTTCCGATTCCAAATCTCCCCCTAAACAAGGAATATTTGGTTCTAATTCCAAATACAATTCACCGATAGATACGTTTGGCTCATCATCGAAGTCACCAAATCATGGATTTAAATCAATTTTTGGTACAAGTACCGAAGGTGACATTGATGAGGATGATGACAAAAATGATATTGATAAAGAAAGTGATTATGAAGGAGAATCTTTTGGGCCAGGTGCAAGACCAATTTTACAAGAACAGGAAGGTAACTTTATATTTCAATCAAAAATTTATATATATTATTCATTACATTAACACAGTTATTTTATCAGTGATCACCGGTGAGGAGGATGAAGTAACTAGATATACTATTAGAGCTAAATTATATTGTATGGATAAGTCACTTCAATATAGAGAACGTGGAGTTGGAACATTGAAACTTAATTTTCCTAGAGATAATAAAAAATCGCCTCGAATAGGTTCGATTAGTCGTTTTTTTTTGATTACAATTTATTACACCTATATCTTATAAGTCTGTTTACTAATTTATCTATATGGTTTAGTAATGCGTACTGATGGTGTACTGAGAGTTATTTTGAATATCGCGTTATTTCATGGAATGAGTGTAGAAAGAGCACAAGAAAGTTTTGTGCGAGTTGTTGCATATGAAGGAACTGACCATATTCCCGTTAAACTTGCAATCAAGGTTCCTATCAATTAATTAAATAATTATTCAATACTTACATCATTTAACTTTTAGTCCAACTTTTCATTTACTATAGGTTGGAAGTCCTAGTGCAGCTGATGAATTATATAACGCCATCATGAACGCAATACCACAGCATCAACAACAGTCACAAATCAGAATCAATGCTGTGGCTTCTCGAGCTTGAGGTGTGTTTTTAAGTTAATCACCAAAAATTGATTAATTTAGTAAGTCATACGTCTCCTTATTGAGCTTTTTTTTTAATTTGATTCATTCTTTTGGTAAATTTTCTGTAACGGATGGGATTTTTTCAACATATTAATGACATCATCAGAGATTTTAATTTTCGATTTATTTTATTTTTTAAACCTTGTATGATATTTTTGATTTTTTTAATTTCCTTTTTTTTTTTTAAAAAAAAAAAATATTTTTTTTTTTGGCATAAACTTAGATGTTTATACAAAGGTTGGTTAAAACGGATTATAATGTACTGACTAAGAGATTATTTTGTACATTTTATTCTTTTGTACTTTATATTCTTGCTCTATTTTTTTTAACTGGATATTCATTTTTTTATTTTTATATATTCAGAGATCTAGTTTAAGAACAAACATTGTTATTAAATTTAGCAGAGTTTACAATTACAGTATACATTAAAATGATTTATTATTAGCATAAGATTGAAATGACTTATTATTTGAAACGAATTTCTTATAATGTAACCTAACCTCATCGTGAAGTGTCGTAGAAATAATATGATTGTAAAATTGACCGGTAATGAGTTATAAATCATTCAGCATAATAATTAATTATTCTATTTGAAATAAATCATATTGAATGCAACAGAAAATCAGCAATTTATCCATAAAGATTTGCAAGATCTCAAAAGAACAACTTGCGTGATAACTTTTAAAATAAGCAATCAAACATTCTTTAGAACTTTTAATAATTTCCAAAGATAATGTACCGTCTAGCACTGCCTAAAGTATCCCTTTTGAGCATATCCCCACTTTAAAAGATCCGGGTATTTTACTAAATAAAAAATTTTCCTATTTAGGATCCGGGTAATTCAACTTTAATTTCACGAGTTTTGTATAAGACCCGGATATTTTACATAAAGTTTTAGTTTTTTAAAATTAGATCGCAAAATTTAATAAATTAATAAATTATATATTTATTCTTGAGTAATATTTGCTATTTATTTATAATTTGATAATACAAAATTATTGAATAAACGCTACAGAATTATAAATTTGATTAAATGCTATCAATTCCTATTTTGGATTATGTTGCAATCTATAATAATCATCTTCTCTTTCATTATTTTCACCATCCATTCATTTCCATTGCTATCAACTTCAGATTCACTTTCATCATTACCTTCATCTTCTTCAATTCCTCTTCCTTAAATATTTACTTTTTCTACTTTATTGAAATTAAAAATAGATTATCATCTTTTCCATTTAAAGAATATACAACAACTTTTAAATGAATGCCTAATCATATTAGAATAAATTTGAATCCCAATTTTCTTTTATCCAACTTGCTACAAATGAGTAAGATGGTCATTTAATCTTTTCAGATGATGTATAATCCAGGGTCCAATGGTTCCAATGGATCCATAAGAGACATTGGATCTATTGAGATATTTTAATTTAATTGGCTAATTTTATTGATTTTAAAGCTTATAACTTACTAACCACAAATGCTAGAAACATGATTTTTTGTTTATTATATAATCCTTAAATCTTGAAGCATATTTAATAAAAATTTGAAGTTTAATTATTTATATTAATTTTGTACAATTTAGTAATCTATATTAAATGTTAGGGTTCCGCAATTCAATTTGATATTTGAAAATTTGATTTGAAAATCAAATCAAAAAATGATTTATTTGATCAAATTCAACTTAATGTTTGATTTGATTCGATCAAATTCAAATCAAGTATTCAAATATTTGATTTGATTTGAATCAATAGTAAAGTCATCTCCAAAGCTTCAGGAATGCCTCTTACTAAGAAAACCATAGTAAAAAGCGTCTCTGCAGCTTCAGAAATGCTTTTTTTACTAAGAAAACTGTAGTAAAAAGCACTTCCGCAGCTTCAGAAATGCCTTTTTACTAAGAAAACCATAGTAAAAAGTGCCTGCAGCTTCAGAAATGCTTTTTACTAAGAAAAAAAAAGTAAAAAATGCCTTTGCAGTTTCAGAGACGTTATTTTACTTAGGAAACATAGTAAAAATACTTTTGCAGCTTCGGAGATGCTATTTTACTAAGAAATCTAGTAAAAAAAAATGCTTCTGTGACTTCAGAAACATTATTTTACTAATGACATTGTTACGAAGCTGAGATAGCGGTTATTACTAAGTTTTCTTAGTAAAATCAAAGTCGCGATAATGGTTATTACTAAGTTTTCTTAGTAAAACTGAAGCTGCGTTGGCGGTTATTACTAAGTTTTCTTAGTAAAACTGAAGTCGCGATGGCGGTTATTACTAAGTTTTTTTAATAAAACCAAAACTGTGGAGTTATTTTACTAAATTTAATAGTAAAAATTTACCTGTTACTAAATTTACTTTGTAAAAGCTTTCTTTAAAATTTTTTAATGCAATTACTAATAATTTTCTTAATTAAAACTTTATAATAACTTTATTTTAATATATCATTATAAAAATTAAAAAAAAAATTATATTCAATTCGATTCGATTTTGAGGAATCTTATTAAATGTTATTAGTTAATAAAATTTAAATATAAAAAAGTTTTTTTAGCAGGCTAACTAACTACTAAATAAATAATATTGATTCTGATTCTTCTTAATACGATAATTCTAATAAGCTAAAATTCATTCAAATTGGATCAGATTTTTTTTTTTTTTTTTTAGTAATATAATTTTATTAATTTTAAAATTTAAGAAATCAAATAATACAAAATAAAAAAAACTAAACTATTATCTATATGATTCAACATTAAAAAATTATTGTCTAGAAATATTTAAAAATCTATAAAAAACCAGATCCCTCCAAACCAGCCAGGTTGTCTTGTCAAATTCAAAGACAAATATATAAATATAAGTCTTATCATAACTGTTCATTAAAAAGGAAAAAATGTTTGAAAAATAAATTAGAATACAAAAAACAACTAGCTATTACTAATCCAAAAAGAGTTTAATTTCTGCCATGTATTATAAAAAGTCTGGCTAAATTCCAATTTGTAAAAATAGGTTGAGTGAAAAAAGAAGAGAAATTAATATATCAATTAAATGTGAATATAGAAGTTCTATCATATTTTCTGTTTATATAAGATATGTTCATATCTAGAAAACCAAATATTATTATGAGTTTAGTTATAAAGATATAAGATAATATTTGATAGAATTTTAAATGTGATTTTTTATGAGTTTATAATATAATAAATATTATTAAAAAAGATTTGATGTAATAATACCTTTAATTAAATTAATAAAAGTTAAAGAGTCATTTTAAGAGAAGATAATTCAAAGATCATTTATGTTTAAATAGTAAATTAAAAAGGTAGAAAGAGTAAAATGAAGTAAGATAAGCTGATATAAGAGGAAATTTTTAATATTATCTATGATATCTGTCATGATTAGTAAACTAGAATTATATAATCAAATATAATCAAAAGTTTTATTTGCTTAAACACAGTAACAACATTTTATGAGTTATAATAAATATATTTTTTGTGTAGATTTTAAGAATTCTATTGTAGAAAGTTATTTGGTTAAATATTTAATTCTTCAGCTATGTTATTTTAAGTTATTAAAAGTTAAATTGTATGTTTAATCATTCTTTTTAATTCGTAAAAGAATGATAGCTTTAGATCATTTTTTTAACTTTTCTTTCAATAATATCTCCTATCTACGTAATAAAAGTCTAACAATTTTTTTTTAATATAATCTTAAAGTTTGATCCTATCTAAAATTTTTAATTATGTGTTATTAAGCAGATAAAGTTGAATTGTTGGAAAATTAGAAAATGCAATTTAAGGTTTCAATAATTGACCTTCAATATAAGATTAAAAGAAACTTAACTATGTTATTTAATGTTAATCATAAATTAGATTTAATTCTAAAGTATAAAAAAACAATTTGTATCTTTCTGAATTATTACAAGATCTTAAAGTAATTAAAAAAAATCAATCAGCCATTTTTTTATGTAATGATAGGATTATGAGTAAGTAGTAAGAGATGTAACTTTAAAAAGGTTTCAAATTTTTTGGAAAATAAAATTAAGTTAACAGTAGATAAACACTATGATATTGTTTGTGGAAAAGAACATGAAAGTTTTGGGAAGTTAGTTGATTATTGGCTTTAAAAAAATCTTTTAGGTTCTTTTTTGAGTTTGTATGTTTATAAAAAGGTTATTGAGAAGAAATTTAGTCTGAATGAATAACAGATATTTGACAAAGATAGAGATACAGTTGCGAAGTAGCTTTATAATGATGCTAAAACTAAAGATGGTTACATAATTATTTTCAAATTTCATTTGAGTTGCAACTTAATTATGGTACTCATCTTTAGCTAAAATAGATATGTTTTAGATAACAAATTTCTATAAGGAATTTAAAAATGAAATTAATTTGGATGAAAAACAAATTATAGGCACATTGTTTTGTACTGAGAATTATAAAGCTATTGGTTATTCTGATAATGATAGGACAGATTAGACATTGGAATATGTATATGAAATTGGTGAAGTAAAAGAAGATTATTTCTTTTATCTTGAATTTGAGGTATCTATTAAGATAAATTCAAATTCAATTTGATATTGATTAATCCAAGCTATTCATAAAATGGCTAAATTGAATTTAAGTGAAGGTAAGGTCAGATATACAGCTGCAATTTCATTAAATGAAAAAACAGCAAAGCAATTGAAAGGGGAAAAAAAAAATGTAAAAATGTAACTTTTTTTAATTTTGTAAATTATTATTTTTTAATATATATTTTTTATTTTTTAAAAGTTTTAGTTGTTTTTTGATTGTTTATAATAATATTGTTTGATTTATTCAAAATTTTTAATTTAAAATATAAATCTACTAATTTACGATTAAGTATATTATAATCATATAGTAAATCAAATTATAATTATTTAATAAATTTCTATAGGGATTAATTAGTGTTAAACTTCAGATTAATTAGTGTCAAATCTAGGATTGATTAGTATTAAATCAG